GCATAAAATCCTTACCATTTAAAATCATCTTTATGATGTAGACCAGCCGTTTTCAACTTGGTGACCTTTAGAGGCGTTTGGACCACAACTCCCAGAATTCCCATCCAGCAGACCGATCGACTGGGAATTCTGGGTGTTGCAGTCCAAACATGTCTGGAAGGCATCGAATTGGGGAAAGATGATGTAGACATCCATGTGTGGAAAGAAGGTGCCTCAGCAGCTGGAAACATAGGAACTAGGAAGCTGCATATGCTGAGTTGCTGCTTTGGCTCATCTGGGCCAATTCTCAGTGCTGATGGCTCTCCTGGGTTTCAGGAAAGAGGTTCTTCTGCTCTACTTGCAGATATTAGGAATTGAACACGAGACTCTGTTCATGCGAGCAAGTGCTCTACCACTGAGCTATGGCTAGTTCCCTCTGTTCTGACTGGCAATGGTTCTTCACTGTCCCATGTGGAAGTCTTGCCCGTTACATGTGGCACTATGTGAGTGGAACCTGGAACTTCTGGAAAGAGAGCTCACCTGTTGTCACTGAGGATGGCTGCTCAGGAACAGCCAGAGTTCTAGAACCTAATCATGGCTTGTATTGTGTGGCCTGTCAGCTGATGGTTTGTCTGGCCAACTAAAGCTAGAATGCTGGTGCATGCAGTGCTGAAGGGAATAGACAAGGAAGTGTAAATGTCATGGCATCTTAGAGAGGCTAATTAATTTGTTGCAATCATTGGCATGCAATACATTTTGAAGTACAGATGCTCACCATGACAGATCATATACAGCCATGCCTGAAGAAGAGTTCAAAAATGCATTCAGGTTGATCTACCTCTCTCCCTCTCTAGCCTGATTCATCCATCATGAGAAATGGGGTGAATTTCCCTGCAGGAAATTTCATTAGGTGCCATTTTAAATATTTGGCATGCAGCATAACTTCTCATGATATGCGAACCCATTGAAGGTTGACCACCAGAATGGCCAACAAGCCACCAGAAATCCTAAAACCATCTTTGGTTCTGGGTAGCCCGTTCACCCATTGTCAGCTGCTCGTAGATTGACTCTGGGCAGCTTGCAGGCCCAGTTCATGCATCACAATAATGCAGATTTTTTTAAAAAATTGGGTTGAGTGGAGAAAGAAAAAGGGGAGCAGTCAAAAATGACAGAAAGAAAAGGCATAGTCCCCCTTACCGTTGCCTTTGTTCCCACAACACACCCATTTTCAGAATGTGATCCTTGCCTGATTTCCTCTGATGTAATATGATCCACATTAAAAAAACAACTACAAAAAAACGTTTCAAACATTTTCCCCTGTCCCTGCTCTACAGGAAAACATCTGCAGAGAATGGATAGCAAGGCCGATCTTTCTGACATCTGCCGAAACTGATTTGTTGTGATATTCCACACACACATTCAGCCAGTTCCCTAATATGGAGAAAAACACACAGGAGCAAATTATTGACATCATCTTGCCCACAATTGAGCTTATTTTAATGTTCTGCTAGGAAAGGGGAGGGTTCTGAAATTTTAATTATGGCAATTGGTCCCAATCTCTTACGGCAGAGCCCTGGGACCAAAGAAGATAAATAGATCAAAGGAAAGGCATCAAGCAGCTTGAATAGCTTGACTGGTTTGTCAAGTTTTTTTAACATAAACTTCTAACTTTATCCAAGTTGAACAAGTAATATGGAAGCTTCAGGCTCTGCATGAATTCATGGAGGTGCTTTCTTTGCTGTATAGATCCAGTTCCCATAGCCCAGCTTATGTGTCAAGCACATTTTGGAGGCTTTCCAAGAAACAGTTTGGAATGTAACTGAAGTAGACAGAAGGAGAAGTCTGTTAAATGCAGGTGCAGAGAATTGTATAGATAAAAATGTCAGATGGTATAGCAGTTGTTTTTGTTTATATGTTTATTGCAATTTATAAATGGTAATGCCAATATGAAAATTGTAAATCTACGTTCTGTAAACCTTTCAACCAAGGTAGCTCAAGAGTAGCGATAGGAGGTCAACAAACGTTAACAGAGACTCTAGCAGGTAAACACTGCACCTTCTCAGATTTTCTTCTGTAACTGCAGGAGACTTCAGGTAACACATAATATTAGTAGCTTGCTGCAAGTTGTGGGAATTTTTCTAAGCATGCATAGACAGAAAATCCCTTAATCACTTTGTAGCTTACTATCTTGTATAGCTACATTATAATCTGATGGGCAATGGTGGGAAACTCCTTTCAGTCCAAGAGCCAAATTCAGTTTTGGAGATTCCCTTGGGGAATGCTTTCTAGGGGCAGTAGGCCTGAAGCCAAAGGAAGTTGTACTGAAGGCAAAGGGAGTGACACCAAAATACAAAAAATACCAGCAAATTGTAGCTTTACGTAACTGAACCTTGGGAGATGCCATGTCAATAGGAGTGAAACTGCATGGAAACTACTGAACCAACAGAGGCTAAGGAAGAGAGGGTAGGATCCAGGAAAGGAAATATAGCTAACTAGGGAGCACTGGTTTGTTCCCAGACCTGAGGATCCCCATCTCTGTGACAGGCTGTAATGCTCTTGTTTGTAAGGACATTTTTTTTTAGAATTCATGGAAGTAAAAGAATAGTAACCTTTTCATCATTGCAAGAGTTTGCAGAAGACCAGCAGATCGCATGGATATGAACACTATGATAAGCTTCTACCTGAACCTGCTCTTCATGTAAATGAATGCTGAAGTAACATTTTTTAACAGTGGAGGTCCTGCCTAATTGTCTTAGTATATCATTAGTTTTGTTGATATGAATGCGAACTCTTCATCTTATGGAAGAAATGAATGCAATACCTGTTGATTGACCTCATCAGTCATTTGGAAATTTAGTTGATGCTTTGCCTTTAAACCTGGTATTGCTGACAATGCAGGCCCATGTTTTGCTATTGACACCTAGACTGGAAGGCATTTCATGGTAAAACGGATGTTGCATCTCTTTTCTTCTTAAACTGTGTGGCCGTTTGCTTTTTGTGACATGGATTTTTTTCTTATTTTCAATATGTTGCCTTCATGGACTGTGCAAGATATTGGTAATTTGCTTTTCCATTTGTAAATGCTTGAAACAGGTCTAACATGGTGCTTTGCGATATTTTATATAAGGATCCTGTGGTGTGGGATTCTTAAAAAACAAAACAATTTGGAAAGTTTGCTACTGCCCTAGATTGATGGAAATCTTGATTTAGCATGTTTGGCTTGAGTGCTTGTTTTGCTTTGTCTTCTTACCAAATTTAAGTCATGTGAATTTTAATTGGTGCATAAACATCTGAATAGCAAAACTAGTTGAACATCATGGTGGAGGAAGTTCAGTCAACCACTGTGGTTTAATTTACTACCTGTTATTTACTGTAATTCATACCAGTGTGCATGGCTGTAGATCTCCAGCTATTCCCACCATTCTTGACCATTGGCTGCACTGGCAGGGGCTTCTCGGAGTTTAAGTGCAAAACATCTGGAAATCCATCTTCTGCCTACTCTTGCTTTAAAGGATAAAAATGTGGTACAGGACAAGCAATAGAGAAAAGCACAGGCACGGTAAACAAGGAAGGGATACGCAATTGTTCCACTGTGCATGCAAAGATTTAATTACAGGTAGGACCTTTTGAGGGAACAGGAGAAATTTTTACATCTTTGCTTGGAAATTATTTTTATTGCAATAATTAAGAGATGACACTTCAGGAGTGTACGCTTTCCTTACATTAGTCAGATTTTAGGAAAAGAGAAAGCATGGAAAACTGCCAGCCAATACATTTTTAGCCTACCTGAAGAGCTGTATGCCAAAATATGTGTCCAGTGATAAGTATATTAGTCCCTGGAATCAGGTAGTCACATAGCAGGGTCTCACTGGAAAAAAGCTAATTTCCAGTTTAATTTTATATTTAAACTGGATCCATTTAATGGATATTTTTCTACACTTACCTTTGAGGTAAAGGCATAAATAACACAATGTGTCTTGTTCAACAAATCCACCCATTATCCCTAAAGAACACAGCTGGGCTCTTTGAAGATATTGGGTAATGGCAAATTGTATTGCATTTGGTTGCAAATACTCCTGCCTGTGTTGCAATGCACAGGCAAGCTGATTTCGAATTTCTTAGGACTGGGCACTGTTGATGGATGGATGGATGAACAGATTGATTTGGTTTTTATGCCACCCAATTGGCAAATGCCTTCAAGCACTGACAATATTTAAAAAGACAACTCAAAACAACAATTAAAAGTGCTTTGAGAGGCAACGGAAAGAAGTCTGACTGCTAATGTTTCTAAAATTAGAAGACTCCTGGAGATTTTTTAAAGGTAGTAAATTACCAACCAATAAGCAAATAGAAGAATTTTAATTAATACAGGCGTCTTGCTTCTTCAGAAATTTCATTCAAGTAGAACTTAAGAAACTAGAAGTGTTGCACTGACAGATTAGCTTTTGGGTTTTTTTTTTCATTGTACTAGAAATCAGCATGCTTAGATGTTTGTTCATTCTTTCTACAATGCACTGTATTAACGAATCCTTAACAGAAAATGTTTTCAGAAGTACATGCCACTTAAGTGCTGTGCACCTGAAAGTTTTGATGCCTTTTGTACGTTGAAATCTAAAAGTTTTCTGAGTTACCAAAGGTTATTTCCAGGTGAATGGGCCCAGTCTTGTTTCCTTTATTGTTATGCTTGGTGTGCCACTTTTACATGCTGTTTTCTGCTCTTGATAATGGATGGGCCTTCATGAAATGGATACTTTAAAACTCACTTTGAATACTGTAACTCTTGTTTGCATAGATATGCATATATTCAGTGAGGTCAAACTTATTATTTTGCCCCAGACAAATTAAGGTTTGTTTGAGCTGGAATTAACAGCTTTTAAAATTGGGTTGGAAGCCCAACCAAATATAGGGAGGGTAACATATTAAGCAGAAGTATGTGGCACAGCTTGTTTTTGTTCTTTATTGGGGAAAAACCTATACCACTGGTAAAATCTTCAATGTCTCTTGCATCGTTTTTTTAACAGGAAGAATTCTGAATCGTTTCACCAAAGATATTGGCCACTTGGATGACTTACTTCCATTAACATTTCTGGACTTGATGCAGGTAATCTAGAGGAGGAGCTTGGAGATTTTTTTAGTTTGCTTTGGTGGTCTAAGTTGTATGTGTTGCTAATTTGTCAGTATTTCAGGTAGGCTTAATGAAGGGACTTGTTTAAGAAGGGTGTAGTCAAAAATTGAAGTGAAAGCGGGGAAAGAAATGAGTAATAAGTCCTGGGTAGGAGTGGCTGCTTGTAGCTCACCATTATGTCAAGGTTTCTGTATGTAGCAGCTGCATACCTCGTAAGTTGCACCTCGTTTGCCTTCGAGCCATTTGGCAAGCTGGCAGCAGTGTTATGAAATATGTCCACAGTAAAGAAACAATCAGCTCACATGAAAAGATAGCACTGATTAACCTAATTATGGATGTACTTCCTCAAAGAAGCCAGTGTTTACCATACTGTTTTGGGATTAAAACAGGTGTGGCTATTTACAAAGAAGAGATTAGCAATAATAGAGCTGAAAATAATAGCTGTAATGACAACAAAAGAAAGAAGATGTTATAAATACAAAAATGAAAAAGAGGAGTTGTCTAAGCACAAATGATGTTAGTGTCAGGGAAGTGGTGATAGCTTAATTTGTGGCGTGCATTGGCTTTTCAGTGGCTTCCCAAATCTTACCTTTTTCAGGAAGCTATGGAGAAAAAGCACGGGCATCAACCTTTATACTTCATGATACAGTCTTCCTTGGGTATCTCTCTTGTACCAGGATCTTCCTGCTCTAAACAACATCTCTCCGCCCTTCCCCTTCAAGCAGTTTTAAGCTGAAAGCTTTAAAAATACAGTCCTCTATTTGAGCTAGGCAGGTTTTTTGTGATTTTATGTTCTGTGATTTTTTTTTGTTTCATAAGATTCTTTGCATCAATCAAAGTTCTCTCCAGTTTGTAGGAACAGCTCTTGCCCATGTGAAGAGCGAATTCCAAACTGAAGATCCCATCCTTCCTTCCTTCCCCCAAATCCTACACACCTGCTCCTTAGACCCTCCCTGTTCTACAGAGTCTGTCCCGGAACCTGTGGTAGTTTGGTTCTCAGCCACTGTTTGACAAATCTTGATAATTATACTTGACATTTCCGTGCCACATTCCATCTCCATCTGGTTCAAACACAGAATTTCTGAACCAATAGAAATTCTGTGTTTGAAAGAAATGGGCTCCATTTTCCAATTTTCCATACCTGAAACAGAGTCCTTCTTAATGTGAACCAGTTGCCTAGAGAGGAAGGCAACCCCAGAGTTCCCCCAGCTATCATAAAGACATAAGAAAAGTCATGCTGGATCACACCAATGGCCTGTCTGGCCTAGCACTTCATTCACATGGTAGCAAACCAGTTGTCTGCAGGATCCCTCAAGCAAGATGGGTACAAGGCATCTGCCTCTGATAATGGAGGTAGCCAGGAGGTAGCCATTGATAGCTTCTTCGTTCATGAAGTTGTTCAATCCTCTTTTAAAGACATCCAGATTGGTGCCCATCACATCTTCCTGGGGTAGTGAATGCCATAGTTGAACAATGTGTGAAGAAGTGCTTTGTTTGATCTGTCCTAACATCTGGATGTTCTGGAGGTTTGGCAAAGCTCTCTGAAACACACCTGGTTTTGGCAGAGAAACTTGGAAAAGGATGGATGTTCCAGCTTGCAAAACAAGGCTGCCACTGGATAGGACCAATCATAAAACCAGGGAATTCTGCTGTTCTTCCACTACATGAAAAGGAACCCCTCTTCAGGAATAAAGATGCATAAAAACAGCATGGGGAAAATAATCAGATTTTGCTCTGAAGAGTTCAGAAGAAATGTCAGGCATACCTCCTTGAGTTGGAGTGGTTCCCAGAGTGTCAAAACACAAACCTGGAAGCAGTTCTGGTCCCTGATATCAACAGGTGCCAAGGCATCCAGGAGAATCAGCAGGATCATTCTCCCCCTGACCTTCTCTTGGTGTAAGTTACCCATCAGAACAATCAAAGTGGTTTCTGTGCAAAAAGACAGACTTGACACTAGATTGAAATGGATCTAGACTATCCTTCCCTAGCCTGATATCCTCCAGACTTATTGGACTGCAGTCACTGGATGGGGGATGCTGGGAATTGAGTTCCAACACATCTGGGGAGCACCATTTTGGAAAGAGCCGGTGTAGATAATCAGTCTTAACCAGGAAGGCCTAGAATTGTATAGTGCTTCCTCATGTAAGTATCTGTACCAACAAGAGACACTAGTAACAAGCTTATAGTTGTATCAGTGATCATTATTCTGTCAGAGATCATCCAGATAGCGATGGGAAAGTGAAGCATAAAATGGAGCCCCACTTAAACTATGAACTTTGCTTTCTGCCAAGGCTTCTTAGATACCATCATCACCTAAATCAAGAATAAACTCTACATTTCTCCAAATATAATGAAGGTCAAAGGGAATGGGTTCAGCTATTGGTCACTTTAGGCTCAGCAGGCAGAAGAGAAGAGGCAAGCCCTTGAATGTCATCGTGCCGATGCAGACTGCCCCTTCAGCATGGGCAGTCAACATTCAGCCCACATCACAGCCACTACCGCACTGCTTGGCAGGTGTGATGAGTCCAGCCATAGTGTTCAGTATCCCATAGCAGCAAGTTTCTCTTCTGATCCAGAGGACACATTTGGAAAACTGTTAGTTTCAATACATGCTTTAAAATAGTCATATTTTCTTAGTGGCTACAACATTCTGTATTTCTCATTGCTTCTAGTGTACAAAATTTGACATAGGACCCTGCTGGCATGTATCCCTCCCCTCTCTCTCTCTCTCTCTCTCTCTCTCTCTCAAAAGAAAACTAATCTTGTCACTAATAGTGTTTGGGGGTAGCGGGAGGAACCTCCAAAGACTCCTGGGGGTTTTTGTCCTGCTTTTCAAGAGCTCTACAGTCCAAGAGATTTTAGAAAAGTAGTCATTTTTTAATCTACTTTATAAGCTTTCTTTCTGAACGTCCCCCACCCTACCCTCCAACACAATATGCTAAGCTTTTAAACACAGAGACATATTGAAACATACACGAAAATCTACTGGGCAGAATATATGGGCCATTTTATTTCTATTGAAATACTTTATTTCTTTAAACACTACTGCGCAATACCGCAAGGCAAGGTGCAGGTGTTGTTGGACATGTGAATGCTTGTTGCGCATAGTCGACTGTTACATATTCGTATTTATCAAACACCTCGTACAAGATTTACAGCCTTGCTAAGTTGTTACAACAGTTCTGAAAACAGGTGTACATGCCAATGGATCATACAATCCAAGAAACCACCAGTGGCCATTCTGCCATGGGAATGATGCATGTAAGGAACCTTCCCAGAAAGAGGTAAAAAGGGCTTCTACTTGGAGTAGGGCCTTCTCTGCAGTGGCACCCAGATTGTGGAATGCGCTCCCTGGAGAGGTTCACCTGGTGCCGAGTTTATACTCTTTTTGGCGCCAGATCAAAGCCTTTTTATTTAATTGTTCTATTAAAAACTAGCATTTTAATGTTTAATGGTCACTTTCTATTTTATTTAATTGATATTTTGTGGTTATTTGTTATTTATTATATTGATATGGTTTGTTTTATTGTATGTTGATTTTAATGACTGTAAGCTGTCTCAAGATGCCATACAAAAGTTTTAAATAATAATAATAGTAATAATAATAATAATAAAAATGGCCAGATTACTTTCCCCATCTTGTATTTGACTTCATGGGCCAATGTGAACTCAGGGAATAGAATCCAGACTAACTTGACGTCAGTGACTCTTGTCTAAGTATGCCTCAGTCTGGGTTCCTTGCCTTTCTCATGCGTAAAAGATTGGGAGTTGGTTGTCAGATTGTATAATCCAAGCCATGAGTTCTTCCCTTCCCTGCACATTCCCTGCATTCCTTAACCACAATAAGGCTATGGCACAATTGGGCGGTGTACAAATGTTTTATATAAATAAATAAACAGGCCATGGTTAAGGTTACACCTGCCCCAGGCTTAATACTCACACTAACCAGTCTCCTTTGCACTAGTTTGACTCATCTGGAGAGACTAACACTCAGTCACTGTGCCACATGTTTCTGGCTTTCATTATTGGGTCATTTGCTCAGGTCATGAAGTCCCGTATTCTCTGATTTCTGTGCAGGACAGGAGTATATACTGCCATATAAATGGCTCATTCTGAGGGATTTGACTCTTATCCATTGTGCTTGTACTTCTCCAATATTTTCCAACATAACAAAGTTTACTTGTAAGTATAGTTATGTGACATTGCTGCAGTTCTGTTCATTTAACCTTCCCCCACAACCTCCTCCCATATTTTACCTCTGTTGAGGTATTTTCAGTCAAATTGTGATTAGTTGCAGGTTTATTTATGTCTATAGAAGCCAGTTTTGTACAAAGGATAACTGTTATTGAATATAATAAAGATCTTTTGTCACTTGTTTTGTTTGCAGGTGTCTTTTATAAGACATCTTCTAATCCCTTCAGGAAGAAATATTTTCTCCTTCTTAAAAAAAGAGAAAGAAATCAGTATTAACTAAGTATAAAAGCTCTGAGCCTCTACCATTGTTGTCGATTCTTTGAGGGACATTTCCCAACAGTCCATTGTTCAAATGGTTGTCAGGAGGAATCAAGTGAAACTCCATAAACAATGCCGTAACTGGTTCCTCTCACTTTGTGTGCAGAAGCTTTTCTTGAAAGGATTTGCATTGAAGAAGTGGTCCATTTTCCGAGTTGTCGTCAGGTCATTTAGAAGCATTCCAGCCTTTTCGCTTTACTAGCTGTTGCATATTTCAGTTCTGCACAGATAAGTCCTTGCCTATCTGGACCTTGGGAGTCTTCAGGCCAAGGACTGTGGGAGACCCCTCCCCCAAAACCGTAACATTACGTTAAAGCCTTTCAGAATTAGAGCGTGGGTTTAAAGAGAAATGAATTAGCTTCTTGATTACATTACCATGCTGTATTCTTGTATAAAAATTAATATGATTAGTTGAGGCAGCTTTATTTGGAATAAAAATTGTAATTTCTTTTAGGGTTATCCCC